TTCAGGGTATATTCCCAGTAGGGGGATTGCAGGGTCATATGGAAGGTCAATTTTTAGAGCTTTTAGGAATCGCCACACTGCTTTCCACAGAGGATGCACTAGTTTACACTCCCACCAACAGTGTAGAAGTGTTCCCTTTTCACCACACCCTCTCCAGCAGCTGTTATTTTTTGAGTTGTTGATAATTGCCATTCTTACTGGAGTTAGGTGGTATCTCAGTGTGGCTATGATTTGCATCTCCCTAATGATTAGTGAGGTTGAGCATTTCTTCATGTGTTTGTTGGCTGCTCGAATGTTCCAAATTTTTCCCAGTGTTGTGAAGAATATCTTTTAGCTAATTGTCTTTTTTAAAACTCTTGTTTCTTGAAGCATAATTTTATCATTTCCTTAGAATTCCGAGATTAAGCATTGCTGGGTCAAAGAATAAATAAATTTCTAAGATATTTAATATTTTGCCAAATGTCTTCCAAGGAGATTAAACCAATTTATTTATTCCCACAAACATTATATGAAAGTGTCTCTTCCTTCCTTCTTTATTTCCTTCCTTCCTCCCTTCCTTCTGTTTTGTTTTGGGTTTTTTTTTGAGTTGGAGTCTCACTCTGTCACCCAGGCTGGAGTACAGTGGCATGCTCATGGCCACTCTGGCGTCCATCTGCTGGACTCAGCAATCCTTCCACCTCAGCCTTCCAAGTAGCCAGAACTACAGGCACGTGCTGCCATGCCTGGCTAATTTTTTTTTTTTTTTTTTTTAATCTTTTGTAGAGAGGAGTTCTCACCAAGTTGCCCAGACTGGTCTCGAACCCCTGGGCTCAGGCAATCCTCTCACCTCAGCCTCTCAAAGTGCTGGAATTACAGACTTGAGTCACTGCACCTGACCCTATTTATTTTTTAAGTTGGAGTCTTAATCTATTGCCCAGGCTGGAGTGTAGTGACACATTCATGGCTACCTCAGCCTCTACCAGTCAGGCTCAGGTGATCCTTCTGTGTCAGCCTTCCCAGAAACTGAGACTATAGATGTGTGCTACCATGCTGGGCTAATTTTTTGATTTATTGTACAGATAAGGTCTTGCCAAGTTGTCCAGACTGGTCTCAAACCCTTGAGCTCAGGCATTCCTCTTGCCTCAGACTCCCAAAGTGCTGGGATCACAGGTGCAAGCCTCTGTGTCTGGCTTATATTTATTATTATTATTATTATTATTTTATTGATGAAGACATTGAAATACAGAGTTTAAGTAACTTTTCTTTCTTTCTTTTTTTTTTGAGTTGGAGTCTCACTCTGTCGCCCAGACTGGAGTGCAGTGGCCGCTCCCGACCACCGCAGCCTCGACCTGCTGGGCTCCAGTGATCCTTCCGCCTCAGCCTTCCAAGTAGCTGGAACTACAGGCATGCGCTACCACGCCCGGCTGATTTTTTGATTTATTGTAGAGATGAGGTCTTGCTGCCCAGGCGGGTCTCGAACCCGCGGGCTCAGGCAATCCACTCACCTCAGCCTCCCAAAGGCATGAGATTACAGGCTGAGCCACCGAGCCCGGCCTTTTTTTTTTTTTTTTGAGTTGGAGTCTCATTCTGTCACCCAGACTGGAGTGCAGTGGCCGCTCTTGGCCACTGCAACCTCGACCTGCTGAGCTCCGGTAATCCTTCCGCCTCAGCCTTCCAAGTAGCTGGAACTACAGGCACATGCTACCACGTCCAGCTAATTTTTTATTTGTTGTAGAGATGAGGTCTCACCAAGTTGCCCAGGCGGGTCTCGAACCCGTGGGCTTAGGCAATCCACTCACCTTGGCTTCCCAAAGTGCTGGGATTACAGGCTGAGCCACTGAGCTCGGCTTAAGTAACTTTTCTAAGATCACAAACTTTGTAAGAGGCAGAGTTATGATTCAAACCCAGGCAGTATGACTCTTGAATTTGCATTCATTACCTCTATACTCTGTTGCCGAGTGTACATTGTTTCATATTGAATTTCTTTGGTTAATGGTTTTTTTATTTTTATTTTTTTGAGTTGGAGTCTCACTGTCGCCCAGACTGGAGTGCAGTGGCATGCTCCTGGCCACCGCAGCCTCGACCTGCTGGGCTCCGGCGATCCTTCCACCTCAGCCTTCCAAGTAGCTGGAACTACAGCCGCGCGCTACCACACCCGGCTAATTTTTTGATTTATTGTAGCGATGAGGTCTCGCCAAGTTGCCCAGGCGGGTCTTGAACCCGCAGGCTCAGGCAATCCACTCACCTTGGCTTTCCAAAGTGCTGGGATTACAGGCTGAGCCACTGAGCCCGGCTTAAGTAACTTTTCTAAGGTCACAAACTTTGTAAGAGGTAGAGTTATGATTCAAACCCAGGCAGTATGACTCCTGAATTTGCATTCATTACCTCTATACTCTATTGCCTAAGTGTACATTGTTTCATATTGAATTTCTTTGGTTAATGGTTTTCTTTTTAATTTATTTTTATTTTTATTTTTTTGAGTTGGAGTCTCACTCTGTCACCCAGACTGGAGTGCAGTGGCCACTCCCGGCCACCGCATCCTCGACCTGCTGGACTTCGGCAGTCTTTCCACCTCAGCCTTCCAAGTAGCTGGAACTACAGGCGCACACTACCACACCCGGCTAATTTTTTGATTTATTGTAGAGATGCGGTCTCACCAAGTTGCCCAGGCGGGTCTCGAACCCGCGGGCTCAGGCAATCCACTCACCTCAGCCTCCCAAAGTGCAGGATTACAGGCTGAGCCACCGAACCCAGCTGATTAATGGTTTTAAAGATTTTTTATGGCCGGGCATGGTGGCTTATGCCTGTAATCTCAGTGTTTGGGGCATCTGAGACAGCAGAATCACTTAAGACCAAGAGTTGGAGATCAGCCTAGGCAACATGGCAAGACCCCGTTTCTACAAAAACTTATTTAATAAATTAGCTGAGTCTGGTGGAATGGGCCTGTAGTCCCAGCTACTCAGGAGACTGTGGCAGGAGGATCGCTTGAGCCCAGGAGGTTGAGACTGTGCCTGGGTGACAGAGTAAGACCCTGTCTCTAAAAATTTTTTTCTAAATTAAAAAGCAATCTGTCATATATTTATAGGCTGCTTCTATTTTTTTGTCAGTTGCCTATTTAGATCCTTTGCCCTTTAAAAAAAAAAATTCTTAACAACTGTTTGTCTTTCTCATAACTCTATTGACTGCTGCCATTCTGGGAAAATTTTAAAGCCCAACATCACAGTTAACTTTCTTGATTCCTTATAATTCTCTCTCCACATGACTTTCGCCTTGTGCCTTCAGAAATGAGTTATTGTGCTTACTCTAGAGTTTCTATCACCTGAGTCTGGTTGATTTGTTTTATTTGTTTTGCCTGGGTGGAAAGGATTTTCTTCTCAGCTTCCTGGGGGAGTCACTTTTTGTTTGTTTGTTTGTTTTTGAGTTGGAGTTTCACTCTGTTACCCAGGCTGGAGTGCAGTGGCATGCTCATAGTCACCACAGCCTCAACCTGCTGGGCTCAGGTGATCCTTTCACCTCAGCCTTCCAAGTAACTGGAACCACAGGCAGGCACCACTGCATTTAGCTAATTTTTTGATTTATTGTAGAGACGAGGTCTCGCCATGTTGCTCAGGCTGGTCTCGAACCCTTGAGCTTTGGCAATCCTCTCATCTCCACCTCCTAAAGTGCTGGAATTACAAGCAGGATCACCTTGTTTTATTACTTTTCCATGACTGTCCCTTTAATGAGACCAAACACTTATTAGAGTTCCCCTAGTGGTCTCCCCTTCCTAGGGAAGGAGGAGGGTTTGGATTTTGGTCAGGCCTTGTGTGATTGGTTCAGATTCACATTCTGTGTTCACCTGTGTAGGATTTCTGGCCCAAGTATAATCTCCCAGCTGGAGCAGAAAGAAGAGTCATGGGTCCTACCACTTCAGAACTTTGAGGCAAGGAAAATCCTGTGGGAATGTCACACAGGTAAGATGAGAGTACTACTACCCGGTGGGAAGTAATCTGGGATTTCAGTTCTTATTTAGATGAAGTTTTTGAAATGCTGCTCTAGACTTTTGTTCTTACTATTAGAAATTTAAACTAGACTTCTTGATAAGTCAGTAATTGACTAAATGGAGCTTCATTTTGATTAAGCATTTCACTTTTGTCTAAGGTAACTATAATACCTTTTTTTTTTTTGAGTTGGAGTCTCACTCTGTCTCCCAGACTGGAGTGCAGTGGCATGCTCCCGGCCACCGCAACCTCGACCTGCTGGGCTCCAGTGATCTTTCCGCCTCAGCCTTCCAAGTAGCCGGAACTACAGGCGCACGCTACCATGCCCGGCTAATTTTTGATTTATTGTAGAGACGAGGTCTCACCAAGTTGCCCAGGTGGGTCTCAAACCCGCGGGCTCAGGCAATTCACTTACCTCAGCCTCCCAAAGTGCTGGGATTACAGGCTGAGACACTGAGCCCCGACCCGCCCTTTTTTTTTTTTTTTTTAATTGGAGTCGTGCTCTCATCCACCCAGGCTGGAGTATAGTGGCATGCTCATGGCCACCTCAGCACCGACCTGCTGGGCCCCGGCGATCTTTCTGCCTCAGCCTTCCAAGTAGCCAGAACTATAGGCGTGCGCTACCACACCTGGATAATTTTTTATTTATTGTAGAGATGAAGTCTCGTCAAGTTGCCCGGGCTAGTCTTGAACCTGCAGGCTCAGGCAATCCACTCACTTTGGCTTCCCAAAGTGCTGGGATTACAGGCTGAGCCACCGAGCTGGTCAGTTATATTATCTTTGAAAGAAGCTGCCAATATTGAGAATATGTGGTATACTCTTGAAGGATATCAAGATCACCTCAAGGTTCATCTGATCATCTTAAACTACAGAGACTTTTAGGGGCCTGGCATGGTGCACATCTGTAATCCCAGCACTTTGCGTGACTGAGGTGAGAAGACTGCCTGAACCCAGGGGTTCGAGACCAGCCCGTACATCTTGGCAAGGCCGCGTCTCTACAATAAGTAAAAAAATTAGTTGGGTGTGATGGCGTGCACCTGTAGTTCAAGCTACTTGGAAGGCTGAGGCAGAAAAATCGCCTGAGCCTAGCAGGTCAAGGCTGCGGTGGCCCTGAGCATGCCACTGCACTCCAACCTGGGCGATGGAGTGAGACTCCAATTCAAAAAAAAAAGAAAAGACTTTAGGAATTCATGTTTTCCTTTAGCTCAGTGAACTTCAATAAACTTTTCACAAAGTGAAAAGCAGAATGGATAGCCGGGTTCGGTGGTTCAGCCTGTAATCCTGCGCCTTTGGGAGGCTGAGGTGAGTGGATTGCCTGAGCCCGCGGGTTCGAGACCCGCCTGGGCAGCGAGACCTCATCTCTACAATAAATAAAAAAATCAGCCGAGCCTGGTAGCGCATGCCTGTAATTCTGGCTACTAGGAAGGCTGAGGTAGAAGGATCGCCGGAGCCCAGCAGGCGAGGCTGCGGTGGCTGGGAGCGGCCACTGCACTCCAGTCTGGGCGACCGAGTGAGACTCCAACTCAAAAAAAAAAAAGAAAAGAAAAGAAAAGCAGAATGGTGTAATTAAGTGTAATCTGCTGCAGAAACAGTAATTCTAATCTCTCTTACTGCCTTCTGATGTTCTTTCCTAGTAACTGATATGATAACTTTATTCTGTGTCACTTCCATTAATTTTTCAGACTTTGAGCATCAGGTGGCAAAACTCAATCAGGACACTTCTGAAACAGCAGAACAATGTGGAGCATCCTCAGAACGGACCCCCCCAAAACGCTTCTCCTACTCCTTGTTGGGGAGGAAAGTGGGAGAGGGACCTGAAATTAGAAGGGCAACATGGAACCCTTCTAGGAGTGGACCAGCAGGTGCCCTTTTCACAAGAGAGGGATTTAAACAAGCTTCTAGATGAATATGTGGGAAAGAAGCCTATGTGTGCAGAATGTGGGAAAAGTTTTAACCAGAGTTCCTGTCTCATAAGACACTTGAGAACCCATACTGGTGAGAGGGCTTACAAATGCGTCGAGTGTGGGAAAGGCTTTAAGCTGAGCTCAGACATCATCAGTCATCACAGAACACACACAGGAGAAAAGCCCTATCAATGCAGTGGGTGTGAGAAAAAATTCAGCGACAGCTCAACACTCATCAAACATCAGCGAACCCACACTGGTGAGAGACCCTACAAGTGCCCGGAGTGTGGGAAGAATTTTGGTCGCAAGCCACACCTCCTAAGGCAACAAAGAACCCACACAGGAGAGAAGCCCTACCTGTGCCTCGAATGTCATAAAAGCTTTAGTCGAAGCTCAAATTTCATCACTCACCAGAGGACCCACACGGGGGTGAAGCCTTATAGGTGTAATGACTGTGGGGAGAGTTTTAGCCAGAGCTCAGATCTGATTAAGCACCAATGAACCCACACAGGAGAATGGCCCTTTAAATGTCCCGAGTGCGGGAAAAACTTCAGAGATAGTTCTCATTTTGTAGCTCACAGGAGTACGCATTCAGGAGAAAGACCTTTCAGCTGTCCTGACTGCCACAAAAGCTTCAGTCAGAGCTCGCATCTGGTCACACACCAGAGAACACACACAGGTGAGAGACCTTTCAAGTGTGACAACTGTGAGAAAGGATTTTCCGATAGCTCTGCCCTCATTAAGCACCAACGGATCCACACAGGAGAAAGACCCTACAAATGTGGCGAGTGTGGGAAGAGCTTCAGTCAGAGCTCCCACTTCATTACCCATCAGCGAATCCACTTAGGATACAGACCCTATCGATGTCCTGAGTGTGGCAAGACCTTCGATCAGTGTTCCCATTTTCTCACACACCAGAGAAGGCATACGGGCGAAAAGCCTTTTCATTGTAGTCGATGTGACAAGAGCTTCCGTCAGAAAGCGCATCTGTTATGCCACCAAAACACCCATTTGATTTAGGAAATAGTTGTTAATAGTTCTGCTGCTCCCTTCCAAATTTCCACTTCTATCTTTAAGTTCCCCAAACAGAGAAAACCTGAACTTTAGTGGCTCAAGTGGGCCTCGACCTGTTCTCCCTTCCTTTCCTATGAACTTATAGAGTTCAAATAATGTTCTGAGCACAAAAAGGTAGGCCTTCAGTGTGGAGAGATGTGAGTTTAATGATTGATGCTTGGTTATTGAATGAGAAAGGAGAGAAATGTGGCCTAGAGAACCCATGTAAATCACTAGTATGGTGCCTGGCACAAAGTTGGTACTCAATAAACAGTCACATTACCATGATTATTATTTTTTTTGGATTGGAAAATATAATTTATTTAGAAAGTAAATGAGAGAGAGAGAGAGAATAAAGAGGAGATTCACCTCCCCAAGGTAGGGGAGGGAGCCAAAGCTAGGAAATATTGTGACCATAGCTCAAAGAGTCATGTGGCCAGACCAGAGTTTAGCAAAGCAATAGCCCACATTATCATTTTTTTTTGAGTTGGGGTCTCACTCCTTCGCCCAGGCTGGAGTGCAGTGGCACACACTCTTACGGCCACCCTAGCATCGACTTCTGGGCTCCATCGATCCTTCCCCATCAGCCTTCCGAGTCGCCGGAACTACCAACACGCACTACTACGGCCAGCTATTTTTTTTTTTTTGAGTTGGAGTCTCACTCTGTCGCCCAGACTGGAGTGCAGTGGCTGCTCCCAGCCACCGCAGTCGACCTGCTGGGCTCCGGCGATCCTTGCGCCTCAGCCTTCCAAGTAGCTAAAACTACAGGCGCACACTACCCCGTCCGGCTGATTTTTTGATTTATTGTAGAGATGAGGTCTTG